ACCTGGATCTCCTGAAGCCAATCCAGCACTCTCACCGCTACACCTCACCAGCTCTTCACATTTTTGAAAGATCTTGTGACAGACATACCATCTGCTGATCTAATCTGTTCTTATAAATTGTTCTAATTCATATGGACATTTCCTTGAGTACTTAATTCTACCACTCTATTGTTTTCTTGGAAATTTCATGATTTGTTGCTGAGTATTGACCGAAACACCACAACCGTGTCTAAAGTTTTGATTGGCAAGCTGATGAATAGTGAATATTTCATTACAAGGAAGACAGAAGAGTTATGTCAATGGCGTTGTTGCACTGCAAAACAAAATGTCTCACTACAGACCTCAACAGATTGTTACTCCCACTGACTAGTGACAGTGACAACAGATGGGAGCCCAAAAGACCATAAACAGGAATGGCATTCAGAGAGATGAAAAATCTAGCAACCTCAAAACAGCCTTACATGCACATCCATAGCACTTTCTGCTTTTCTCTTCAAAGAACCAACAAAAATACGTTTGTTTGTTTGTTTGTTTGTTTGTGGAACTTGAGTGCCACCAAATAGTCCAAGGCCTCTCTGGGTGACTCACAAAAACAATGGCGTATGGAATAAAATCAGAAAATTTAAAAACAAACAGTCCAGCATCATAAAAACAATAAAAACATGGGAACAGGAGACAATACACACAGCAAATGCAAACAAACAGTGATAAAAACATAGTCAAATCACTAAAAACAGGTACAAAATAAAAATGTGGTGGGTACCAGTTGTGCTTCCTTAGGAAGGACATTCCAAGGTGAAGCTAAGTAACTGAAGAACCCCGTTCCTTGTTATTTCCCCCTTTATTTCAGTTAGTGGGAGCTCAAATGATAGGGCATCCATAGAAGAGCTTAGGGCTTTGGTAGGGATATATGGAATTAGGAATTCCTTCAATAGATGCATATATTTTTGTTCTATGCAAATCATTTCATTTTAACTAGTAATAAATTCCTTTACCTTCTCCTCCATCATTTTATATGATGAGGGAATAAAATGTTCATTTCCTTTACTAACCTAATTGCTTGGCAGCTCACCAATACTGTCAATATTTAAAACCATGATTTCCACTGGCTACTTGTATCTCTACACAGATTTTTTTAACTGAATGCCTATGTTATAAGTACTTCATGCAAAATATAATTAAGCAAGATCATTTAGATTTGTTCCAGTTTAGCCCCCTTAAGTCTTTGGGATTACATGAAAGGACCCAATTCAAAGTGAAGTCTCACAGGTGTACGTGAGGTGTAAGTGTGTCTTAGGGTGTAATCCTATGCATATTTAGACAGCAAAAGTTACTGCAACTTCCTGCATTCCCAAGCAAACATGACCTTTTTCTGCTTTAAGCATGCCCTTAAACAATATGATACCCAATGTGTTTTCTTCTATGTCCAGTGCAGAACAGAAGGGGCTCTGGCTATAAAATTATAACAGTTATGTCAATTTTTAATAACCATCATTCTTACACTCCCCTTTTACTCCCCTTTTACTCCCATTTTACAGGATACAGTTTTGCAAACTAATTCTCAAAACTATTTATGTGGGAAGCGATGAAATTTGGCAACAAAGCATCTTTAAAGTCTGGCTGTCATAATGCGCACACCGATCACATCTTTCATATGTAATTTACACCACAAAATACCAGACCTTACTTTGTGGTATGATAAACATCATTGTACAACTAATGCCTTCTTATCTTTCTTTTCTTATGTTTAAATTATTTTGACATACATGGCAAGCCATATGCCATGTAATGTAATAATAATATTTTCAATTATGGCATTTTTATAATACAAAAGCACCAGTCATTAGACCCCCAAATAAGATCCTTCAACTACTCCTATTTCTCCTGGTCTGAAGACTTCACAAATCTATGTCTAAGAGAAGATGCCCTTCTTTTAGTACTTTACTTTGAATGATAACATATAAGACTTTTCAAGCACAATTTGTGAAGGATTATGTATGTCCAACAATTTTGTAACCTAGAGTTTTATTCCTTAAAATAAGATTCCAGCTAGATATCAGGGGAAAATTCCTGACTGTTATAGAAGTACAACAGTATAACAGTGTGGGTTGTGTCCCACACAAGAGGCATTCAAGATGCGACTGGACAGTGATCTGAGAGGGATGACATAACTTGGTGTCCTGTACCGAGCAGGGGTTTGGACCTGATGGCCCCTTCCAACTCTACTATTCTGTGACGATGCTATGATTTCTCTAGTGGTTTGAAACCTGTTATTTAAAATGTTTCTTTGGAAGTAATGGAGCTAAATAAGTTTGCTTTGTACATGTTGCTTCCAGAAGCAAGGTTCTATTCTAGGCCAATGAAGATTTAATTTCATTCACATCTTTCCAATTATTCTGTCATTTAACTTTTGTTTGGAGCACACACATACATGCAGAATTAGATGGCACGGTGCATAATTCTGTTTGGCCAAATTGGTCAATCTCAAAGCTGGCTCTCCTACTAATACAGAAGTTCGGATTCAGTGCCCTGATATGTTCTTGTCCAGTTGCTTAAAAGAATAGGAAGTATAACAACAACAACAACAACAACAACAACAACAACAACAACAACAATAGTTGAGGTCAAGTGTTCAAGATTGCTACTGGATTTTCTTAATAAGAAACCCTCTAGAGATGGAGGTCCTCATATAAAACAGTTATGAAATTCTACTTTGAAAACTATGTATTGTAGAACAAGAGTAGTTTGGAAAGAGAATTAAAACTATTATAGTACAATTCTCTGTAAGTGTAGACATGTTGGTGTAGAAAAAGAAAGCCTGCAACTCCCAGCATGCCCTAGCCAGCCATGTTGGCTAGGGCATGCTGGAACTATAGGCTTTTTTCTGTCTAAAACTCCACAGGATTGAAGCCTCAAGGATTTACCATTGATACAGGTTTTATTGAGAGTTTGGAAGCTTAGGATCAAAACAATTGCATTTAGTTAGACATTCAGTACATGATGGCAAGTTATTCTCGCTGATCCAGTAAATGGAACTATTCTAGTGCTTTTAAGCCTAGGGAAGATCCAGCTATCATGAAATAATGTGCTTACTTATCCAGAAGTAAGCTCACATTGTTGTATGGCTCTAACTCCCTGGTAAATATGGATAGAATTTCAGCCTAAGTGTGATGTTCTTTGCTTTTCCACCACCACCTTACTAGTAGTTTGCAGTCATCAGTTGCCTTATGGTCATCCATACATAATGATCAGAAACAATTCACAGATTCATCTCATAGTATGAGAGTAACCACTGAGCCACAATTCTGAACAAACACATTTCTTAATATTTGATTTATACAAATCACTGTCAATTCATTAGGTCATTATATGAAGAAGGTACATTATCAATAGTATGCAAGAAAGTGTATCTCAGAAATGCTCAGAAATTCATGTACCACAATTGTTATAAGAACGATTAGTAGCCTGTTTGTTGACCTTTTATCTATAAATTCCCCCTTTCCTCTAGAACATCATTACAGATGATCTACCTGGTAGCTCCTCAGGAACTTAACAGGAATAAGGTACAGCCCATAGTAATTTAAAACAGTGAGTATCTGTAGGGCATAGACTGCATTCTAGAACACTTAATGATGAATATATAATATGTGCACCTTTTAACATATGGAAATATTAAAGAAAAGTTATGTATATTTATAACTATAAAAGTAAGTCAATTTTTACTAAACAGTTCTGAAGCTAAGTACAAGTCTGTTTAAGTAAATGAGCCTGCAAAGTCTTGAATACAATCATATGCATATATATTCACAAGTCCAACTGACTTCAGTGGGGTTACTCCTGTGCATTTGGGTACCAGATCGCAGCCAATGAACTCAATGAGACTAAACTCTTTCACTGCAATTCATACTACACAATGTATAGCATAAGTTAACAATTCAACTTCTACTAAATAAATGCCAGCATTAACTATTTTGTGTTGACTGTCAGGAAACCTCCTGACATTCTTTGGCCTTATGACTCCAACAGCCAAGCCCCTTTCCCACCCTCCTCTCAGCTGCCACAGAACGAACTGCACCAGCTTCCTCCTTGAAGTCCAGCTAGGCCTTAGATTGGAAAGAAGGGGCTGGGCAGGGGACAAGGATGGGAGGGGGCTGGGTCAATGGCTTATGCCAATTCCTGTTGGCGCCCCAACCTTCTTCTCCAAATCTAGAGGTCCAGACACGACCAGTCAGAGAAAACGCATGCCACAATGCATAGGAACAGTAAAACCTGCCCTTGCGACACCTTACCCTGTGCAATACATGCACATAAGCCTTTTTGTCCAGAGGGTTACAAGTATATGGAAGGCAGGGCACTGGACTTCATCCTTAAATACATAAAACATAATAGCCAGACAAGTAACAATGTTCTGTGCTATCAGTTGCTTCTGGGCAACTTCCTTTGAGATAGCGTCAGCATTCAATACATCTCTTCACATGTCTACTAGCCATAGCAAGGCATTTAATGGAAAAGCCAGATGACAAAAAGTATTTATTGTTGTGAACACATGTCTGAGTTCAGCAGTGCTGTAATCTCTATCAATGAACAAAATACCTAGGGAGAAGGAATTACTAACAGATCTCCCACCTGAATACCCAATTTTATTACCCACAATGGCAGTTTTAATTCCAAGTGCTTTGAAGGCATATTTCCCCATAATCCATACATGTTGCCATGGTGATTTCATATAAAAAAGCTCCAGTTGTTTTGTTTATCAATACATAGTAATGTTGATGATCCAGCCAAAATTAAGCACAATTCCAAATTATTTTGATATGGGCAGTTGAGCACATGTGTCAATTACTACACAGAAGCAACTGCTTAAACAGCTTTGGAAGTTTACCTTTGGGTGGATCATTTCCTCTAAACTGGAGACAGATGCACACTCATCTGAAGCACAGAGCACACATTTTATAAGTATCATTATGCTGGATAAAAAGGTCTACAGAAAGTGCACTTACGTTGGCATTCCTTGCAGCACTTTCCATCAACATATGCAGGAGCAGAATTATGAAGACAGTCAAAATGTGGGCATATCAGTGCTTCACACTGGATAGTGCCATTCTAGAAAGAACAAATGCTTCTTTTAAAAATAATTGAGAGTATATGCTAATTGAAGTAACTATTTTCAAGTCATGGGTTTCTTTAAAAATGTAACATCTCATACCAAAGTAAGACACGATCCATTTTCCTTTTCTTGATTATGAAAAAACCTTTATACTAAAAACAAAGCAAACCAACCAAATGAGAACAAATTGATTTTTGGAAGGCACATCCAAGTCACCCATTCAGATTTCAACCAGCCTTGTCCCTTCAAAGGCCAACTTCGGCTTGCCAGGCCAATCCATCCAGACCTGTTTTGCAGCCTGTTCTTTACTTTCTCTGTTGCTCTTGAAGCAACAGAGCAATGGAGAAAGCAATGGAGAAGCAAAGCTGGCACAATAGTGAGTTTTGCTCCCCTTGGATTTTCTCCACTGAGGCTTTTCCCAGATGCTGAAAGACCAAAAGCGGGGGAAGGGGGAAGCAAACTCTCAGACTGAGGCACAGGTTGAAAGAACTCTATCGAAACTTAATGTTTTAGAGCCTGGACCCAAACTAAGTTGACTTTCAAAGGTGTTACAGATACAATAATAATACAGTAATACAATATTGCTTTAAAACTTATATTTTGCTACTCCATTCTGCCTTTTGTTCAAATTAGAGTATCACTATAAGTATAAAACCCCTGCTGAATCCACACTCTGCCATGATTTCTGCAAGCCACCTATTACTATACTTAGAAACAAAATCATGATCCTGTGAAACTCTAACTCTGCAATGGACCATTCCTCTTAGTGCCAGCCTGAGGTTTTTAATGACTCTTGGGGAAAAGACCCTCAGTGGCCCCTTCCTCAGGGAAACGACTTCATGGCCATTCTCACCAGCTGCTCCTGCTCCCCGTCCTCCTTTTGATCATTGCTACCGTGCGCATGACTGGCAGGCAGAGAGCCAATGAGCAAGTAGGCAGTGGCACCAACTGATCCTCCATCTCACTGTCTCCACTATCCGGACCAGAACAAGAAGCAGGTCAACTTGCAGGCTGCCATGATAAAAAGGAGCATCACTCCCAGGTACCCCCTGCTGGGATGTGGACTCTCAGCAGATGGCTGACTATGCCCATGCTTGATGCTTACAGGATCTTGGTCCTCCTAATCCAGTTACTCTGATACTCTGAACAGCTGCCTTGTACTTTACAAAGCTGAGAAGCCTCTGTAACATAGGGTAGAGCATTCCCAGGGGCTGACTCCCAGAATTTCAAATCATGGTTAACATAGTGCATACTAATTTTCACTCAAAACTATATTTGTATGGCTAAATTTACTGCAGTTCAATTGCCTCTTTTTCTTCTTACCTTTGTTTTTGCTAGCTCCCACTACATTAATTGTCTAGGACTGGAAGAGAAGTTTTTCCCCCTGAAATTAGTTTTTAAAAGTCCTTTACACACATACACACACTTAGAAATTAACACGCACTTTACAGATAATCCTGAAGCTACCTTCTATTAATGGATGTTTTTCTCTTATTCTGTTATCAATTCATTTTGTCATTCACAACCTTAAACCCTTCTGAGTCCTTTCCTCCTTACATCATGTAGAGGAACACTGAAGAAATGCAGTCTCCTCCTTCCAACCTGCTCAACCTGGTCAAATCCTGACTCTGAGACCATCGCAAGCTGTAACCTCATCCAGAGTGATGGCATTCAAGAAGAATATGACTAGGCATGCCGACGTTGCCCCATAAGCCTTCTTCATATTCTCCTTCCAATACTTAGTAGAACAGTCATACAAGCGATAAGAAGAAGAGAGACTTTTCTAGAAGAAATGTGGCATAAGGAGCAAGTAAACGCCTTCCTTCACACATGTGCAAGTTTCATATCAAAATGGATACTTTTAAACAAAGCATACCATGGAACTATGTCTCTGAACTTATACTCATTTTCAGTCTTACCATGCACGTGCAGTTCTTACAGCCATCTGTCCACGAATCAAATTCTCTGTAGGTGGCACCCTTCACAGTACAGGTTCTTTCGCAATAGCACTGGTCCAGTCTATTCATCCTCTGCTCCGCTCGGGACAGCTAGGTATACATGTCACAGAGAAGGACTTGTTAACTGTAGAAGGGTTTGCCTAAAACTACAGTAACAGTTTGAGCTACTCTGTATGCTCATACCACTGAAGAAGCTGAAAAAAGAGTATCCAGACAGGAAAGGAAGAGACATGCCAGGGTGAAATATAATTGATCTCACCTTAACAATTCATGCAAGGTGTTTTGGGGAAGTATGCAAAATTGTTGTGAGAACCACTGGGTGGGTTTATATTGCTATGCCTCTGTCCAGAGAAATGGGTACTAAGGACATCCCCATGTTCATGGGCTGCTCCATTCATTCCAATGGAAGCAAATAAGGATTGTGTGTACAGTTCTGTTCTCTTCAATGAACTGAATGGGAGAACTGTTCTAGATGGAAGCTCCAGGCACACTTCAGATACTTTGGTTGTGTAAAATGTCTTGAGATTTTATAATAATCAGATGGTATATAAGATATTTTAAGTAAGTAAGTAAGTAAGTTAATGTTCATAGCAGACTGATAGGTCAAACTACAAGTATTTTATCTTACAAGTGTTTACTTTCATATCAGTAATTAACAGTGCAATCCAATCTGTGCTTGCTTGGAAGTAGGTCATATGTATTCAGTGGTGCTTATTCTCAGGGAAGTACATGTAGGACTGCAGAATTAATCTTCGATACAAGCTTATCTGGAAGTAAATTGGTCTCAAATATGGGTGATTTCCTCTGAAAAATATGATTGGTTTTTTCAACAACACGTATTATGTGCTGTAATTCCCTTACACTGGACAAGGAAAATATGTCCATATGTTCTCTGGATATTTTATTGATAAAATTACATGAATAAATTGTACTGTTTGCTCTTTCTAGGGAAACGCAATTTTAAAAATCATGATCACTAGAACAGTGAAAAAATCCACATATGCATGGATATCTGACAGAGATGTGTTTGCACTCATTCATTTTGAACCTTTACTGGGTTTCATCCAATGGTAAGCCGACCTAGTGTAGACCAATTGAAATTAATAAAGGTCAAGGTAAGCAAAGAGAATGATATGACACTTCCACAATGAAACATATTGATGTCGTTTTTATGATATGTTTAAGTAGTTGTAGGTAACCAATAAATATTAAATTATTAAATAACTAACAGTGATAGAATGTCTAATCATGCTTTATGCTATGCTTAAGGGTACAATCCGAGGGATTATTTGGAGTCCCAGTGGCTGGTGGTTTATGCCAATTCCTGTTGGCACCCCAGTCTCCATCCCTCCCTAGGAAATGGCCATCTCGATAGAATACATGGCCCAGAGCATGCCAGCAGTGGCTGATCACTGCCACACCTGAGTGCACACAGGGCTCTGATGATGGATGTTTACGTGCGGCAAGGGCACAGGGCATTCGATTGTGCCCAAACAATCTAAGAAGACAAAGGATTGAAAACATTTTTTGTTATCTTCTATCGTTAGGATACTTGAAAACAAAGCAAATCGCACAGCTCACATCTTCAAAACATTTTACGATGAAAGGACAATTTGTTCTATTGACAGCAATGAACAACGCTTTTCTCTTAGCAATACTAGCACTGGTTATACAAGAAAGGAATCATGTCAGCCTTGTAATTTTATTAACCTGTAACTCCAAACAAAATCAGTACAACAATATCCCTACATCTATTAAACCAGTGCCTAAAATTAATTTGAAAGACATGTGTGCTGTTCACACTAAATGTCATTACACAGTTTTACACAGCAAAGTTGGCAAAACTTTTGACATACAATAATATTGGGTGGTTTGGATCCTTGTTGACACCTCTTTCTTGTTCCATGCTTAGAAAAATCACCAACCACTAATCTCAATAAATATTCTAAATTTATGCATACTTACCTGGGAGTAAAACTCACTGAACTCTATGCAGTTTACATCTGAGTAAATATGTATAGATCATGATCTACATTTTTTTCCTATTTAAATTCATCAAATTACTGATCATGAATATTTATAGACTATTCTTTTCTCAAGAACTTTGATTTAGCATTCTGTTCAAAGAAAAAATAAAAGCTAGGCGAATGTTAAACAAAAGCCAATTAAAATATATGTAATGTACATTCACACCCCCCATTAGTACTTCTATGTCTCTATAACATACACATAACCCATCTATTCACCCCATTCCCCTGCAAAAGAAAGTTCTGAGAAGCTTGTTACCTTTGCAGAAGTTTTGGCTAAAATATCTTGCAGCTCCATAATTTTCTGTACGAGTCCATGGAAGTCATTACATGTTGGGCATGCTGAAATTGCAAAACACCACATTTGTCAAATTATTCTTCAGCTGGGCTAAGCTTGCAATTACAGCCATACTTACCTGAGAGTAAGCTTCACTGAACATAATAGGACTAACATCTGAATTGAAAGACATTAGACTGTGCTATAAGTCTTACCACATTTTAGTTGATAATCGATACATTTAAGAGATATCTTACTAGACAAAAATTCAACAAATGCACCACATTGTATTTTATGGTATAAGAACTAGCAGACTTACTGCGATTAAGATCTGGGCACTGAGAGATAAATCCTTGAGGCATGACAAGTAATTGCACATCTTGCATTACACCCTGTGTGCAGGTAGGGGAAAAGGTTATATTATTTTTATCCTGTCCGGATAATATTCCAAAGCAAGTATTTTCATGTAAAAGCTTCTGTTCTAGCTATATCTCCCCACACAAAGCAGTTTGTATGAAATCACTGCCTCTTACTTTCATGCACTGTAGCATCAATAAAGTAGTAAAGTACAGAAGAAAGGAAACAGTCATACATGTATACATTGATACATACACTCATTCAACTATATTTGGAGACTTAACTTAAATGTCAAGGTGTAATTAAGCAGCAAAAAAATGGTTGCTGGGCATTCACTCTTATTTTTATTTAGTCACCCAAGAAAGGGTTTCAAGTGACCTTTAAAAGCCATTTTACAATAATTTGCAGTTCCACTGAGCTTGGAGATACTCATTTAAATAGAACAAGAGAATAGCTATAGCTATAGGGCTACACAGCGAATTGTCCATTCAGTTGAATGTGATTTAGGAAGCAGCTTTCCATGGTGTATTGCACACCAAATCACCAAGTGCAATTTGTATATCAAATTGCACCAATTGCATAAAAAGCTGTGGAATGAATGCTGTACACATGCTCCGAGGCTGTTTCCCAGAGGGTCTTGTTTTGAGGAGGGTGGAATTCATGAAAGCTTTTTCCTCATTAGTTAGGCATGAGATTTTATCGTGGCACTGAAGAGTAGTCTTACTCTATTTTCGTCATGTTGTCCCTCTACTTGAATTGTTGTTAAGTGATGAATTTCAGCATGCATTAATTCACCTATATGCGTTGCCACCTATTTCTTTTAATGGTAGCTAAAACTGGCTGGATCATTTCTTCTTAAAGTTGTTACAACCAAGATAATTTCTGAATCAGTATCCATCTGTAATCTGTGTCCCAACCTTACAACTCCTTGAGATCTTTTGCTGAAATTATGCTGTGCATTTGCATTGACTGGGTGTACTCTTTAATTCTCTCCACTAATACCAGCCTGGACACATTTAGAATTCAAAGGATACTTTCATTACATAAAATACTGAACAGATACTGATTCCTTAACTGCAGTTAAGTGTTACCAATTTACAAGTTTAGGTGGCAAGACAGCAAATATAAATCACTGAAATTTATATGTCTTAATTTCCTAAGAGAGCAGAGGACTCCACATCTCATACAGCCTATAAAAAGGATAGCATAGAGACAAGAAACCAGTTCTATAGAAGAATTGTAATCCTTTCTTTGTCCATTAAGCCTGAATAACCATTGTTTCATTATAGGAAAAGGTGTGTTGTAGTTGTACTGTGAGCTGATTTTCATGTTAGACATAATCTTCATATTTTTGGTTCATTAGTTTCTTCTTAAGAAAAAAACAGAGGTTATACCGATTAATAAATAACACTACCTACATATGCTTAACCAATCATATTGCTCTATATTGTTCAATCCTCTATTTAGATATTTTAGTTGGAATTGGAAGTTGTTAGACTATTTTTAATGTATGTATTTCTTTTACCTATCTTTTCCTGGTGTGTTTTGTTAATCCCATTACTTTTTGACTATTTACTAGGATTGCAGTCTTATCTTGCCTGTGAATATTTGCTTAATCCCTTTTGGACAGGAATGACTTTGCTAGTTTTCCATTATACTTCTTTTTTGCTGCAACCCAGTCACTGGGTTTGAGATCAGTGCAATCTTGCTGTTTACTCCAAGTCCAAGTGTCAACTGATTCTCTTTTATTCATTCTCCCAGCATGCTTTAGCAACTTACAAGTCCTTCTCAAATGCTAACTCCTTCTTTCCCATTTTTAAATGCTTATAGGTATATCTGTGAAATTCAGTGTTTCATTAAGAACCAATAAATATAAACTTTCATTTTTCATTTAGGAGGAAATGGATTAAAATTGACAAAAATGGTTGTACTGACAGTCAAGTATATGCAGGTGCAATTAAAAGGGCCAGTTCATTCAATTCTGTTTGGCATTTTTAAAATATACAACTATGTTTGTTACCACGGAGGTAACAGAAGTGAATATAATGTTGCCTGATCTAGCAATTTGTCCCTGCGGGAACGAACTCAGTACTGAAGGGAATAACCTTCCCTATGGATACTAGAAAGACATGAGGTATTGACATGCCTCTGTATCTCACAATAAAGTACACTTTCCATCTCCTCTGCTAGGCCAACAATTTGATTTCTTGGCATTTTCTATGCATATTTTTACTTATTCATTTATTTATTTTTATACTCTATTATTTTCATAGAAAATCTTGAGACAGTTTACAATTTTAAGAACACAGAAACAATTTGCAACACTTTTGATACTTCTGTCCATAAACAAACAAGCGAACAAATAAATACATTCATAAGTATGCCAAGGAGTTAAATCAGTACTACAGAGTAACTTTCTCTGAGGTTTCTGGAAATAGCAAGCTCAGAGAAAGGGAAATCACTTTCATGACAGTTTCTTTTCCCGGTCTCTGTTTACCAGCTTTCAGAAAGCTGAGTTCAGCTCCATATCCTCTATGCTCTACATATACCCTCATAGCTCTATCTTCCACTGTCTTATCTTAAGCTTAACATATGAAGAAAGAAAAGGATTTTCTGTCTTCAGCCTTCCTATCTCTAAACCTCCAAAAAGTGGTCAACTTCTCTAATGTAATATTTTTATCTTTTTTCTGTGGCCACTAGAGTGTGCTAGAAAATTGAAAACAAATGAAAGGAAACAGAAAGAAACAATAAAGCCAACCTAAATGAAGCCACTCCACAAGATAGTAACTCACCCTATTCAACCTTCCTCTCCATGTTTTTCCTGTCCATCATAGTGACTAGGGCTAATAGCAGCTGGAAATTCACTATATGGAGGGACACACATTGGGGAAAGCATTCTTCAAACAGGAATATGATCCAAGAAATGGAAAGTTCACTTTTATTTGTAACTGCCTACTATCCATTATTGGAGACCAGCACACTGGTTCTGAATTCATCAAATGAAAGGGTGAAATAAGTAAGTGTACAGGCAATACACAATTCTATTGTGAATTTTGATGAGTATGCCCAGTTCTTATTAACTCAGAGAAGAACAGTGCAGTGTTTGCTACAGCAAATGACCTACTAAGAAGAGATGCAAGTACACCAAATGGAAATGATCCATTTTACTAACTATAGATTTACTCTGGAAGCAGAATGTACTTATTTTCCTTAATAATATATAAGCAGGGTTCCTGTTGCAAGAAGTGCTCTCCAAAATCCCAGGCCACAAAGGGCCTTAATGACCAGAAGCAAGATATTGAACTGGGCCTAGTAGCTTATCAGGAATTATGTATAAACGCAGCACTTTACACATACATACACATCACCCTACACCTATTAAAAGGCAGCATACTGTACATTCAGAATTTATTTATGGGTTATATTTCCATATCAGGCAAAAGCTGAAGCTGTCCAAACCATTTACAAGGGGAGGCCAATATAGTCCTTTCTATAGTTTGTAAAGTCATGGATTATTATGACAAGGTCACAGTCTCCACGTAAAGGGTTCCATCAGCCCCTTCCAACCCCCTCTTCAATATCTTCTTGCATTCATAGTCAACCCGTTGATGCCTAACAGGATCATAGATAAACAGCTTTAAATCAAGGAGATCTTATTTCTATCCAATGCCATTTTGGGTAGAAAGGTGAGGCAGAAATCAAATAAACAAACAAACAAACAAACAAACAACCACAACAGGCATTTCATGAAGACTATGCTATCCATCCAAACCAATGTATAACCAACAACAAGAAAGTTGGTACAGAAAGTTGCAAGTTCAAAAGTTACAAGTTGTAAGCTTCTTTCCATGGCAGCCCATCTCATTTATTAACTCCTTGATATATGAATTCTCTGTGCAGTGGAGAAAAGTATTTCTGTTTACAGATATTGGGTTTTTCCTAAATGGGTTTCCAAATTGCTCTGTTTCTTCTGTCTTTCATCATCTCTTTCCATTCTAGCTTGGGCACCTTGCCAAATCCAAAATTCTGGATTAGATAGCCATGTAGTATATCATCTTCCCTTATGTCTAGTCAGATGCATAACTTTCATAAGTGTTGAAATGAATCAACATGGTATGTATACTGCTACACATCCCAGGTACTTTCCCTGGTCCAAAAAATGCCTTCCAGTTGGGCACTATTAAATTTATTGTTTTATCGCACGTGCAGAGTGTAAAATAAAAGTTTAAAAGCATTACAAGTGCACAAAATGTAGCAGCAAAATGTGCAATCAGTTGAAGTAGCATTCTGAGCTATAAAATACAAAATATCTAAGGCACACCAGGGATTCTCTTTGTCCTCACTTAGGGTCCTGAAAGTGTAACTGAACAATCCGCCCCATGACAGAACATGTATTACAAGCCTTGCCACCAGAATCAACAATATTCCAAACTCATTTGTATTCTACAATAAATACATCACTTTGGCAAAAATAACATTTCTACTTATTTTTTTCTTTAGTGTTTTTGTCTTTTTCTTGAGAAAAACATACCTTAAAATAGCCATGGGCACTATTCCTTTGTCCAAGCCAAAATGTAGTGCCAACAGGTAAATCCATAAAGGGCTTTTCCACCACTCTCTCATAAATTCTGGTTTTGAAACAGAAAGTAGGAGCAAACAATTTAAAATAGAATTCATGTTAATTACATTTACGGATGATCTAGAATATTGCACATCTAAATTATGGATACAGCATTCAAGGCTTCACTTACTTATTGCAGTCTACATGCAAAATCAAGTGCGATGCACTGATTGCTAAAGACAGCCTGTGCCATTTGTCATCTGCCAAAATGTAAGGAAACACTTCCGTATGTGAGCGATGGCTTCCTGAACGATAGTGCAATCTAATTTCATTTCTATGGCCGCTGCTCTCTAGTTCCAAGTACCTGCACCAGAAATGGAGCATTAGGTCGTGAAGCAATGTGAACAATGAGGACACAGAATTCATCCCTGTTTGTAAATAACTGACAAAAAGTTGAGCATATAAACTTTTAGCATATCATGGTAAGCAAATGCTGCCTGTGCAGATTGACAATGCTTAGTGAAAGGTTCTTTCCTCAAAGCTGGTTTTAGTATTGTTTAGAATAATAATGACACAAAAAAATCTAGGTATCAGGAAAGGTGCAAACAATGCAAATTGTGCTACCTGAAATAAATAGGTCTGATTTGTAAAGGAAATGCTGGTTGTGTACCTTTCTTTTCTTTCTGCATTTCCTTTCGAGGAAGAATATTTGAAATAACAATTAGGAATGATGAAACTTTGTTGTGGTTTATTCCTCTTAATTTTTGCAAACCTGATACACTTCTGTGGTCAAGATTTTTTTTTTTTTTGGTTGCATTGACAAGGAACATAAGTTGAAGATAGGGATTAAAACAAAACAGCACAGATTTGAAAGTACATATGCCACATCATTGTCTCTCATCTCAAGATCTTAAAAGGAAAGTTTTCAAATAACCACTTCGAAAACAAGAGAAGGTAGACATCATACAGACCACAGCGCTTTTCACAATTCTACATTTTTCTTTGTTTAAAATGATAGGTAAAAAACCAAAATGCGACAGAACAAAGTGAAGAGCAGAAGAAGAGGAAAGCCATCTATGAGATGGGTCTGTTCCATACAGAAAGCCACAGCCTTGAGTTTACAAGAGCTGAGTGGGGCTGTCAAGGACAGGGTATTTTGCAGGGCATTCATTCAGAGGGGTGCCATTTGCTTTTCGGCGCCAGACCTTTTTATTTTATTTATTTAAGCAGCATTTTAAATGTTAATACCATGGAAATTTAATTTGGCCAGGGCGGCTTATTTTATTCTAATATATATATTTTAATTTTAATTGTTATTGTTTTAATTTATTGTGCATTTTATTGTATGTTGTGAGCCGCCCCGAGGCTTCGGCAAGGGGCGGCATAGAAATGTTTTAATAAATAAAATAAATAAAATAAAATAGTCAGAGATGACTTGATGGCACATAGCAACAAAAACTGTTTATGCTAATACTGCTTCAATAGTACAGGCAGAGTGATGGTGCTTTTTAGAGACTGTTTTGCCTGATGAACACAAATTAGACAGGGAAGATTAAATTGCAATGCTGTGTAGATTACACTGCAATGCTGTGCAGATTACATTGCAATGCTCTGTAGATTACATTTTTTAAAAGTGTGGTGGTAAAGGGTTAAAACACTTAACTACAATCCTGATATGGAGTAATACATACACATACAGTACATAGCGCTACAAGAAAGTAATAAGCAAATATTCTTAGATGGTCTTCTTAAAGTCCATGTATATATGCCATAAATAATGCATGTAAAAGTAAACAAAAGCTCTTCGTTAAACAAAAGTCCTCCTTTAAGAATTCTAAAAAGAAATACATTCAGAAATAAGGATTATAGATGGATAATAGTATCACCTATCTCTTATGAGAATTGGAAACTCTATGCAAAGTTTGCTGTACTATGAGAGTACTATTAATGTCTGTTAGAAATTAATATTAAAGGGTTTCTATGAATGGAACATACCCATCCAAAAGAAAGCTGCTCATTCCAACTACATGATTCAGTGCTCTGGCCTTGCCCCCTTTTAATTAGCCTCCACTGATAGCAAGTACTTCTGCTAATGTCTTTTCATCAGACATGTAGCAAAACTACCAATTCTGTTGCTGCATGAATCACTGAACTGATATGAGAATGAAGTTTCCTCCAATTTATATTCAGAAAACAAGGTTAGGAAACACTGTTCTGCTGAAACAATTGAAGTTCAGTACTATTAGAACTTCATGAATTGATTCTGTTATTTAAAGCATCAGATGAAACCACACAAAGATGATAATTCTGTACATGAATACTTATTTTGGTTTTATTCAATGTGATCAGGTTTTCACATCTTCCTGATCTGTTTATTCACATTGTTTTTCTCTAATACATTTTAAAAATTTAATACAGAATATATATTCACTCAAAGTTTTTAGTGCAGAGATGAAATTTCATAAAAATTAAAATTCAGTAAAATTCTGTAATTTGGAATTTACATTCAGTTTCAGTCATTTTCAAGCTTAATTTCTGAAGTTCAGTTTTCAAAAACTTAAGTATTTCATTCAATTTTTCCAAACATGTTTTCCTCCAACTTCCTGTACTATACTTTTTCCCCAAGGTTGAAAGAAGACAAAATGATTCAGTTGGTACAGTTTGTGTAACTGTGGTGATGCAAAATAACATGAAGCTGATATTATTAAAAAGTGTTTAGGTGAAGATGGTTTCAAGAAATCATTATTGGATTCCTTAAAAACTGAAAGGGTTAAAAAAAATCATTTTTATTCCTGTGAGACAGTCTCCTGAATTTCAGGAAGGTGATAGTTTGTGCTTTTAGACAAGAGGTGTACATCCTTCCTTCCAGCAAAGCTACTGTGTGATGGTTGTTATCAGAGTAATCAAGTGTGCATGTGAACAAATAAAAACTTTTCACAGATGTCTTGTATCCTAACTCCATCACATTGTAAATTTTTTGAATCAAGAAGCAAACAAATAAATACATGTTTTCAATTGGTGCAAGAACATAGAATAAAATCTTCATATTCCAGACACAGAAGGAACTTTGTTATTTATATTAAGTATATAACATAATGTTAAGATAGTAGAAATGTTTCTTTGTTCTTACACATAAATAATAAAATATTTTCATTTGCTATTCGGGATGTTGATATACAATTTTGGTAGTACAAGCCATCTATTTCAACCCCCTAAAGAAAGGGGTTATTCACGTTAGATAAACATACCATTCATTTGGTGCAATTCCTCTGAACAACATTACATGAAGCTCAGATGTTGTCTCCTTTTTGTGAAATGAACTGAGCCTTTCTTCTAGTTCCTAAATAAAGGCTGTCATTACTCGAAGCGGTTTCTGTTTATGAAATGGACATTTTTTGTATGTAATGGACAATTCTACTTAAGAATGCTTTAACATATACAACTCTTCACACAAGCATGGAACTACAGTAGGCAGAACTTTTTTTACTTAGTTACTTATCCTGATTCTAAACTTTTGTTTAGACTTGTGTGTAAACAGAGATTGCCATGTAGATATATATTGAGATATAGATATAGATATCCATTTATTATCAATCATTCTATCTGTCTATATCTATTTATCTGGCTAGCCATACACTGTTTTGTTAAACAATATTTTTCATCTTCTTTTCAAATTCATAGGAAGTATATTTTCATAATACAATGCAGCCATGATACCTAAAATTACTTCTAAATGAAATTTGGACAATTGTATTTCCAATTGTTACATCTGCACTGGCAGATTATTTACTTCTGAAATTTTATGCATTTGGTGGGCCACTAAATGTTACTCATTCACAACAAAATTGTTTGCTTGTGTGAACTTTTGTAATGTAGATTTTACATCTTATTGTCAAAATTACATTTTTGCATTCCCACAGATTTAAAATTAATGAAGCTTAACTTCCAATACAGGTGAAAAGGAAACAAATGTAGCAGGACATTAGTCAATGTAATGCCCTCCTTTATAAAGCATGCTTGAAGTTGTTCCAGCTTAAGAAAGTTGTTACTCAGAATACAAATTCAGTATCTTTTAAGCTTTAAATGCTTAAAAACATTTCCACTAACCATGATTTCAACAGTGACCAAACACTTTAAAATGGCAACATTTTCCCAAATGAATAAAAGGAATTAAAAATGGCAAGCATTTTCCCAAATGAGTTAAAGCAATTTAAAAAATGGATTGATTGCCATTGTCTTTTCAAAATGAAGCATTAAGAAACCAGCCTGAATACAAGAAAATATTGTAGAAAACCTTCTTTCACACAAAAATAAGTGCTGGCAGAGTGGGGAGAGAAACATGCAAGGATGTAATGGAAACTTGAAAGGGCAGCAAAGAAGGAACTGAAAAAGATGTTTTACTAGAGACTTATGCCAAGATCATCCAAACTATTATATTCCAAATCACAATGCATGATGCTGTCCAGCTGTGAAGAAAGCTGTTGTGTTCAAAACATGGTGCTGGAGGAGAACTTAGAGAATGCAGAAAGAAAGTAAAACATGTGGGTCCTAGATCAAATCAACTCAGAGCTTTCCCTGGAAGCAAAAGTTAGGCTGTCATTCTTTGGACACATTATGAGAAGGCGAGACTTACTGGAGAAGGCAATCGTGGTTGGGAAAGTCAAAGGCCAAAGAGGGAAAGGAAGACCAAATAATAGATGGACTGGCTGCATAAAGAAAGCCACAGACTTGAATTAAGAACAGTTAAGCAGGGATATCATGGATAGGAGAGGCAGGCTCAAAGGCAGGCTGTCATTTATAAGGTTAACTTGGAGACAATCTGACGGCATGTAATAACAACAACAAACTTTAAACACTGTGGTCCCAACCTGGTTTTGTTCCTCTTTGTTCACTTTGAGTAGGAAAAAGAACAGACATAACTGCCTGCTTCATATTAAAGGCAATGTGCAGTTTGCATCTAACTGCATTCATGGAATGTTTATGTGTTGAACAGCCCAGAAATGACAGAAATGAAATGGCAGAAATGACTTGCTAACTCACCCCATGCTTAAGTAAACACGTGCAAAAACGGCCCTAGACTATTCTACCAATTTACAACCGTTAGAACTCTTACAAGAGCAATTTCTTTAAAAGTCTTATTTCTGTATCTCTTGGTTTTCATTCCTGATTGCCTCTTGGATTTTCACTGTCAGTCTAATAGTTTCAAGCACTTAAATACAATATTCTCCTTAAAACAAGCATCTTAACAAACACAATAACCTTTGCAGAATAATCTATGACATTTTTACCAGTAGTACCATGAAGACGTATTCACCCTACCATTATAGAAGGGCTAGGAGACAGGAAACAAAGCCGTAGACTACACGGGAAAGAACTAAAAAGTGTTGTTATTGCAGTATGATCTTTCAATTGCAACTCTTCAGTCTTCATAGCTGCAAAACCCAGTTTATTCAGTGAGCCATGCTACAGGACTTGGAGGTTTGAGTTGTCATTCATATCATTTTAGGATCACGGTTGACAATTCTTCGCTATGACCATATGTTGGCTGTTTGAGCAGCTGTGGCAGATGTATAACAGTCTTAATAACACCTCTTTTACCTGTGACAACAATTGTCTTGTCATATCATGAAGAAGAAATCATTCTCAAATGTCCCTAGGCCTTATAGTTTAACAGTCCTTTAAACGGAAAGGCACTTTTGCTACACTACTGTGCTGTTTGTTATTATACATACATTTCCATAACCCTGAGGAATATTCACTGTTGCAAAGTAAGAAACCACATGGTTAGGGAGCACACAGAGAAGCCAACAGGTGCTGTGAAATGGTATCGTTCTGTTGGAGGCAATGAAGCTAGGCTGATTTACACTAGATAAGGATGAGGCCCACAGTTATATGACAGGCAAATGGTGGAATGTCTTTTATGCCTTTAGCAGTGGGAGACATTTAGATAGTGACAGCTGTGCCACTTTCTGTCGATAGATCTTAGCTCATGAATGTCTCTCCTTTTACATCATTATTCACAGACACATGCACCATAACAATTGCCAAATAATGTTGCGTATGTCATGTCTTCACTAATGTGTCAATGCTAAATATATTTAGTGGGAAATAAGTACTATCTGTCTCTGCATAAATATGCTCAGTATAAATTAATCTCAGATTGCAGCTTATGATTTATTTTAAACATTGTTCATATTTCAGTATGCCAGAAAACAAGAAAAGTAGCATCGTCACCTACCTGTGATCTAAATGGTGAACAGAAAAAATAACACCTGAATTTAAGCGTGTTTGTTTGAGTGACACCAAAATTGTGAATTCATGTTTATTTCTTAGCTTCTGGAAAAATTGTTCAGCTTTTTCTGGAGTTGCTTTTACACTTCTTGAAGTACCTAAAATAAAGCAAAATAAAGCAAAACTCCTGCTTTAGCAAAAGTATTCTATATATCAGAATTACACCAGCCACAGAGACATATCTGTGCTGATCAAGCTTAAAAATAAATTAATGCTCAACTGATAATAGAGTCCTACAATGCTCTCAGTAATCTTCCATACCCATTACATGCTCTAGTGCATAAGCACAGAATCAAGTATCTATACCTAACAATGAAATACTATTCCTTATTTTAATATCTCTAAACTCTAATGGAGAGGTATGCTGTTAAAATGACGCTACTTATGGGAATGAAACCTTTCTAAAGATTTTACCTAACGATTGATTTTGTTCAGTTTAATATATGTAGACATTTCATTTTTGAAATCATATTACATTAAAATAGATCATTTAAAAGACTGTTTATACTTTAAATTTCCTTACTGCTTTCGTTCATAATGTTTCTTGTATGTAGACAACCTTGCTATTTAATGGAAGTTTTAATAAATTATGAAGCTACTCAAATGAAATTATTTCACATTGTTCAAACTTTCATCCATGGCACACTAACAGAACAGAGTAATTCATATTTGTATTCTGTAAGTTAGTTCAGACATGCACTAACATTTTCTGACAATATAAACAACTTTTTCCCTAAAGGTAGCAAGGGAGAAGAAAAGCACACAAAATGTCTGGCCCTTCAAGGCCTTAACTCACTTCTACCAAACATAAGGGCACACATGATTCATTAGGAATAGGGCATAAAATTCACAAGACTAATCAAAAACTTTATATTTTAAAGAGCACATTTTTAATAAGAACTGGGAGGTACAGTATGAGAAGCTGTGTATGATTGTACAGTTTTAATTGAAAGAACTTCTGAGCTTTTTAAAATTATGCCAAACAGCATACACTTCCTTAAGCACATGGGAAAGGCAGGACAGAAATACTGTACATGAGAAAATGTAGCATCTCTATGGGAAATTGAAATTCTGAATTTCTAACTCCAAGCGCATATCTTATACAATAACTCAGAGCCTAGTTATCCTATAACGTTGTATGTTTAGGTGACTGTCACCAGCACCAAGGACTGGTGAGAGAACCTAGCATCTTTGAGCTGATTACTCCAAGACCTAGCAATCTCGTGATGCCAAGACCCTTCGTATAGCTTTGCTCTGGAGCACAGAGAAAGATTCAAATGGCAGGTAGGTCCATGCTGATGGTCTCCTTTACCAGATAAAACCACCAGAGCCCACTGATAGCAAGTCTGGTCCAACAGAGGGCATTTCACTCAAGAATCTTCAAAACTAGCCCTATTGGAATGTTAAGATATTGTATCTCACAAATCCAGCCAATTTCCCCAAGGTTTGCTTTCCATGGAAGGAATACTGCTGAGGATATCATGTTACCCCAGATGTACATGTGTTGGTTCCTACCTCAAATCCATTGCTATTCTAATGAAATTTCTGCTTACATGACATATCTATGTTTGCACAGTGTCTGGTGAAGGAAGTTAAAATGTTCAGGCTTCATTCAAGGTTTGTTAGCCTGACCTTTGATTGAAAAGACCGATGATCAATTATATATCTTGACCAGATATCTTTAAATATCTTTTAGGAAACATTGTTGTCTTTAGACTTCAAAATCAATCCATCATTGCTTTACCCTGTGTGAAGAAATCTAAAATTTCACATGCCTTGGCTGTAAACTACACTGACCCTGCACAAAAATGCATGTATTTATTTTCCTTCCAGCATACTTCCCCCTTAACAAAAGTTTTAAAAGCAGAAAAAGACCAGAAGGTTACACTTTGGAGTACGCTGAAAGAGTAAGGTTTTTATTAACCCATTACCTACTTTCAGTATTCCCAGTTTGAGTGGGTTTTGTGTCACATGGCTTCACGGACAGAATGGAGTGCTACACTAATGGGTGACTTTACTTGCCATCATAATGATTGGTTAAATTTACATTCTAGCCATGATAAAGAGGTTAATTTTCTTAATAGCATAAGAAACTGTACCCTAGAAGAGGATATGAGGGGGGGAAACCTAGTTATAATTCTAGGTGGCGTCACCGAGTTTGAGACATAAATGCTGTTGAACCAATTGGAAACAGTGATACTATCAGGTGTGACATATATTTAAGTGTGAAACTGCCAACAGAGTAACAGATATGAATGCTTGCAGTAGTTTCCTTGTATCTTGGTAGATATTATCAAAAATAATAAAATCTGTCCCACTAATCTTTTGGAGTTACTGGGTGTCAGAACCAACCAGGGAGACAGAAGTGATCTAGAAGACACTGTGTACTTGGACTTTCAAAAAGCTTTTGACAGAAGCTTTCACCAAGGACTGTGCACAAATTTAGCAGTCTGAAAATGATAGGCCCTCTCATAATGCAGTCTCCAGTTAGAGCATGAAAAGCTATGGGCAGAAAGAAACATGAAGTTCTCACAATGGGAGGAAGTATGGAATGGAGATGCCTAGGGATTTGTATAGGTACTTTTCATTTAGTCTCTAAATGATATGAAAATAAAAGGTTTAAAGATGGCACCAATTTATTCAAAGTGATAAAAAGGATTCCAAAAGGTCCTCTTTGAAATGGGAGAATGAGTAATAAAATGGCATTGAAACAGAATAGGTTAGAAATATTTTCATGTAAACAAGTAAAAAACCCCCATTCAGATTGGAGAGCATGTCTCCTGGGCTAAATGTGGACATATAATTATGGGTTGTGAGCTCATGGTAACTGACTAGAAAAGAGATCTTGGGATCATGGTGCACAGCTCAATGAATATGTTCACTCAGGCTGCAACAGCTGTGAAAGTAATGAATTCCATGTTAGGAAAGTGACTAAAAATAAAACTGTCAATATTGTGATGCTTTTATTCTATGGTTACAGAAAGCCACACCTGGAATTAAGTTTACAGTTCTGGTCAGCATATCCCAAAATCAACATCAAAGAGTTGTGAAGTATGCTGGATAAAATAACCAAAATAATGAAGGTTTGGAGTTGAGTATCAAGGATTTCCTTATAGGGAAAAGTTACAACATTTGAGATGTGTATATGTATGTGTGTGTTGAAAATATGTAAACATTTGCATTGATAGATATCTATAAAATTATGAATTTTAACTATGAAAATTTTTCTCCCTCTCTTCTAATACTAAAACCTGGGGCCATCAATGAAGTTGAATGTTGAGAGATCTGGCACAGATAAAAAGAAGTATTTATTGACCCAGTGCGTAGGAAATGTGTATCCATGATATATGGTAATGGATACTAACTCTGAAGGTGTTGAAAGGGTATTAGAAAATCATAGAGGATAAATTATCAAAGGCAACTAGTCTTGACAGCTGTATATAACCTCCAAGTTCAGAGGCAGCATACCTCTGAATGTCAATTGCTGAGGAACTACTGTCTTAATATTCTGCTTGTAATCTTCCTGTGTGCATCTAGTTAACTACTATGGGTATGTTGGACTGATCTTCTTATGTTTATAATTATTTGGCAGCCTTGCAAATAGCATGTTTAAGATGCCATCCAGTGTGGCTGTCCAGAATGCTCTGAACTTGGACTACTACAGGCATTTGCTGACGCATGGAAACTTTGGAACTCGAGCAAGCATAGAAAGAATTATACTGGCTATGCCAAACTCCAATCTTATGATTATTTTCCCAGTAGTTTACGTTTTGAGTGTGATGTTAATGTGGGGATTTTTATTGTATAGCAATTAATTTGGATGCTGTGCTCTACCCTATTTATTGTAAGACCGTCCTGAGACCTCAGTAGCGAATGAAGATAGAAAGATAGATAGATAGATAGATAGATAGATAGATAGATAGATAGATAGATAGATAGATGGATGGATGGATGGATGGATGGATGGATGGATGGATGGATAGATACTAATTCAGTGCTTTTCTGTTAAACTTTATTCTATCATTTATTTTTCCAACTCAAAAGCCAGGTTTAATCTTGAGAAAGGCAGTCATGTTCCATGATGGGAAAGAAGTAGATATAAAGCATTTCTCTGTGAGGAAAAACTATGTTTTTTATGACAATGACTGTTCTTTATTTTAGAAAGTGGTAGTTTAAATACTAACTTTTCCTACTGATAACATGACCTCATGCATCCACTACCAGCCCGTCCTAAAACATTTTACCATCAATGATCACTGACTGTCTGAGAAACTTCATGGACCTAAGCATGCTGTTAGTTGACCCAGCTGACATGTTATTTCCTTGCACAAAACTTCTATATCCCAATCTAACTTTTGCACCCCTGAGTAGTGCTCTAAAATGATCAAAGCAGATTTTAGATAGTTGCCATTGAATAAGCAGTAGTAAAAGAGTTGGAGGGAAAGCTGCTGTACCTATAAATGAGATGCATAACTTATTCTTTATTCTGTCTGTTCTTGAACTGTCTAAATAATTTTTACAATGTTCCATTTACTATGTTCATCAAATTGTCAGTACGAGTCTAAATGTGACACCTGCTTTCTAAAGTAATATTTCATAAATCAACAAAAGTTCTTCCAGACTTCAGATGAGCACTTTTAATAATATTTAAGACATGCATTCTGGAATACTAATGTCCAAATGATTGCTTATTTATTTGAGATACATGATCGCATGTAGCAAAACAATTTATATTATACAAAGTTGCATTTTATCCCAAACAAGAAAACTGATCCAACACAAAAGAACACCCAAGAAGAAGTTCAGCTTATTAACTTTTTACAGCTAACTTCTTAAAGCTAATCAGCCTGACGATATAGGCCCCATCCTTTTGATGCCTAATTTGCTTATCAGCTTTCAAAGAATAACAACTAAACACTTTAGAAATCATAAGAAATGGTGATAGAAGCTAACTTTCTAGGGAAAGGAAAAGAGCAGCCATTGCGTTGCATGACCCAAGGCCCAGTCACTGATTCAGAGCTTCTCCATAGGTGGACACTGATCACACAACCCTTAAAAAGCTTGACTCCCTACTATTCCAAATATCAAGTCACACTGC